CTTGTTGCTTCGACATCCTTTTTCTTACGTTTATGCGGAGGCAGCTGTTTTCTTGGCTCACTCAAGCGTAAACCACTATCTTTTTCATCTTGTGTACTAATCTTTTTCGGCATTTTATTAATATATAATGCAAAATCACAGTGAAGACCGACCGAAAACAGAGCAAAATCTATCAAAAACTCTAATGAAATTTTAGCGTACAACAGAACTGTTCGATACGATGCTTGTTTCTAAACTGATGGTATACTACAAACTGAATGTGTAAAGGTCTTCTTATACCTGTATAATAACTCACCGATAAATAAAGGGATTTCGGGATTACAAAAGAGCGCAACCGCTCCTAGGTAACAACACTGCGCGTTGCTGCCGAACAGGTATACAAAACCGAAGGGAAGCAACTATCCTTCAAAACTCCATATCTCCATTAGTTTTTCTCCTATTTGCTTAAAATTTATATATGATATTCTTGAGATGTTGTACATTTATAAAAAAAAAAATTTTTTTTGCTCGAATTAACTATACTCCCCCCTTAACAATACCAGTCTTTTCATTACTTCTAATTTCTTTGTATTCTTACATAAGCTCGGTGCTCCGTTTGGCTGGTTGTTTTCCCGGTCGCGCCTTTCACCTGGAAACCACCGGCGTTTCCCTGTTACTGTTTCTTTTGTTCGTTAAAAATTCTTTTGTTACATCTTATTTTCCAGTGAATAATTACAAATAGTCGAATCTCTGTTTGGATTTCCTGGTCCGCGATCATTAGAATTAAAATTTCCCTGGTATTGATTTTTTGATGCAGAGTTCTGATTTGCTTGGGGCGGAGCTACTTGCTGGCTCATTCTTTCTCTATTGGCTGAATTTTGACTATTCATTTGCCTTTGGCCTTCGTTACTATTGAATCTTTTATTTCTAAATTTTGTATTGCCTGTTACGGGAGAAACACGTATCCGTTAAATGATTTGACAACTTACAAATTTGACATACTTGCGAGTTATCTGTTTTTACTACTTTTACACTTTTAATATTTGCTAATTCTTTTTTTGCTTCTGCAAGTACCTTTACTGTCTGGTTGAGATCGTTGGGTTTCTATGTTGCGAAATTGCGTTCAATCTTTACCGCTATTGCTGTTGCTTCTTCGAGACTTTTTGCCTGACCCATTCGCGCTTTAATCACCCAGTGTAAGCCGCGGATGAAAAACTTAACTTTATCCTTTTCTAATTGATTTAAGAATCCGACATTATATCTTTTTTCGCGCACTGCTGCGCTTACTAATTCTCGCGCTACTGTTTGAGAATTTTACTACATTTTCTGAGGCTTTTTGCTTGAGCATAGCCAGCTCATCTGATAATTGGTTGAAAGTTTTGTCTGATCCGAAAAGGTGATCTAAATAAATTTCATTCTCACTAATTATTTCAAAATGCTTTCCACGTATACTTTTTAATGCATCCCCGTATAATCTCATTTTAACTAATCTTGCTAGATCCGCTTCATTTCCTGGTGGAATAACAGTATAAGCTTCCCAACAACTATCTAGAAAATCATGTAGCAGAATGCAGTATCCATTGTAGTTAGGAATGAAATCTATGATATCTTTCAAACCTACATTTCTCAAAGGGCTAATTATGGAATTTTGTACTGTACGGGTTACTTCTTGTGGAGTTGAATGACAAATCGGTCTTGTGCTGGCAAATGATCTGCATGTTCACTTTGGCGTAAAGTATTCTGAATTGCTACTTTTCTCGTTTCTACTTTTTTCAGTAATTTTTGGTATTAAAAATTTAACGTTTTTATGATTTATAAGAGGAATTTCATTTTTTATTTTATCTATTTCATCTTCGTTATCATTGTCAATTGTCAAGTTTGTCAAAGCTTGGAAATATTCCCTTGACTCGTCTTCCGTTATTTCCGCGTTTGATTCAATTATTGGTTCAAATTTATTTTCAAATTGTACTAGTTTGTCAGTATTATTTACTGCTACTAAAATTTCTTTTGGACTTATATTACGTTTTGTTAATTCTTCTACAATGAGTAGTAAAAGTGGATCTTGACATGAATTCCTTATTAATTGTTCATTTATATAATGTTCTAAAATTTTTATTAATTTTTCTAGTTGTTGTTTTTTGCCTTCTAATTCGAAATCTAAATCCTGACGAGTGTGCAGAAATTTTATACATTCTAGTAATGTTGGTTCTCTACTAGTTATAAAATTCGGATCTACTTTTCCTATGTAGTTTCTTAAAATTAATAGTGTTTCCTCATTTCGTTTGTCTCTCGAATCGGCTCCCGTAGCCATGTTTGTAAAAAAAAAATTTACTTTTGCCTAATCCTGCTTTTCGTTAAAAAAATTTTACCCGGAGGGGTCCCCAATTGTTATATCTCACGTAACGGCCGCGAATTGACAAGAATTACTCAAACGCGACTGTCTCTTTTCGGTCAACGCGTAAGCGCTTTACCACGGGTGCGAGACTCAAACGAAAGCAGGGCGGCAACGTATCTAAAGTACCGAGTGACAAGGTAATAATCAAATAATTTACTTGTAGTTTAACTGATTCAGAAACTCGTATCTTAGAACCCAGAGGTGTGACGTGGATTAGGTATAACTGTCAAATAAGTTATTATAGAAATACATTTATAATATTTATTGATCGAATTACAGAAGGTGCGTAGTGTCACAGAGTAGAATACAGAGTGTGTGTTACAATTGTTTTGCGTTTTCTTTTATAGCACGAAATATATAAAAACTAATCAATAAAGGGTTAATTCCAGAGATTACATAGAAAAGAAGCTGGTCCATGTATGATTGAAACGTTAATTTATTGTTGTCCTTGCTATTAGTAAGTTGGTTAATTGACACCCGCCCTTTCCTGCTCCTCGGTTAGCTAGCAAAACTTGATTATTTCTATCTCGCCGTGTGCATTCCGGTACGACTGTGCATCGGGCGAGACAAATAAATTAAAACGGAATTCATACCCCGTTACAAATAGTATTGACTGTGGAGGTGTCAGTGGCATCATAATAGTTCTCGCCTCCGAAAGATCAGTTTGCGCAGGTGGTGTTTGCGGTAACTCCAGGTCTGTCCTTGCTGGAGATTTTATTGTAGCGTTACGCGATGAAAATACGAACATTTCGTCTTTACATTGATCCAATTATTCACAGGAAAACTCGTCGTTGATGGCTACAACGGCTGTAGCAAGTTCATCTTGCCACGGCTCGGTATCCGTCGAGAGAAACTCCTTCAAATTACGAAGAATGTTCTTGTCGCTCTCTATTTCTTCTTTCTTTTAGCCAACCCTATCACTGAACTTTCATTGCTAACGAAATATTCACTGACCTAACGTCACGAATCAATTCACTTTTCATTTGTTCCGCAAACACTGCCCGGGTATCGTTCATTGGATTAAAAATTGGAGGTAGGAGAACACACAATTGTTCTGATTTTTGTCGCGCGCATAAGACGATCATAATTAGCGGTGAGAGTATTTAAGAAAGTGGTTGGATTAACTTGGGAAATAATAGCGATTAATGCAGAGCAGAGACGTGAAAGTGTATTAATACGCGATTGCGATCATACTTGCGCTTTTCATCTTTCAACATGCAATGCATTTAAATCGGTCAATGGCAACGGACGAGCCGCAGGCGATAGCAAGCCGTTGACAGTGACAAGCTGCATTGGCTCATTTAATTGATATTGATTATTATTTATAAATTTATAATAAATTTTATGATAAATTTATAATGAAAAAAATAGCACTTTTCAGTGCTACATGTATGAACAAACAAAAACCGATAATTATTGATAAACTGTAACCTTGCGTTTTTTTTATTCACCCATATTATATTTTTTTCAGCGGAAACAGCAGGTAAGTATAAGGTAGGTATCTTTTAAGTTATATTAAATATAATAATAATAATAATTTTTTTTTTGCAATCGGGTGTGCTGTTTTTTTCTTGCCACTGTCAAACATTGATTGGTCCATTTCAGGGACACTTCTACTTGTCCACGTTTAAAAATCATTCGTAATAAAAATTATTGATAAATTTGACCAAACTAATATATTAATTATAAAACAGCACTTTTCAGTGAAATATAATGCAGCCATCAGGATGGTAGCTGTTTATAAAGAACTTTTACGGGATTATAAGAAGTGTATTGACAAGCAGAATGAAAAAATGAATGAATATTTTACGTTAACTTGAAATTGCTAGATGTAAAATATGTTTTGATGCTGGGATTGCTGTACTCTTTTTACCTTGTGGTCATATTTCTATATGCATGGAATGTGCATCAAAAATTCATGATTGTCCAATATGTCGTCAAAGTATTGCTGAGCGTGTTTATACTTATTTTGTGTAAATTTATTCTTTTTCTTTTAATAAAGTGCTTATTATTTTAAAATAATGTTTATGTAATTTTTTTCTCTTTTAATCTACGATTTTGTATTTTAATGTTAAATTTTATTTTGATAAAAAAATCTGTTCAAGTTAATTGAAAATGTTGGAAATATGATTGTTTTATATATATATATGTGCTTATATGATACGAGAGCCGGTTATTGTCTTTTCTTTTCATTACATAACGGTGGATCGAATCTCAAGGTAAAATGCCATATGCTGAAAGCGCCAGACGCCAGTATAGATGTGTATTGCGCAGTATCTCGGCGTATACTGCAGTTAAACTTTCATATGGGGAAAATCAAATATTCTCTTTTTAAAAATGTATTAATTACTTATCGTGGACTTTTATAACGGTTGCTCTTTAGGCGTCTGACGTCGAAACGATTGGTCTGCTTTTGAAATAAACTTTATAATTTATATAGATTTTATAAATTATTCAAATTTAGGCGCTAGGACTGAGTACCTAAATGAAGTTTTTTGCCTTTTGTCGATTATGTGCAAAACAATAAATTCAACTATTTTATTATTTAAGAAACGCCTAATTGATTATGATAATTACTTTTTTCAGTTTCATAATTTTTTTATTTTTGGGCGATGACTTATAAGACCTTTGACAGACTTATGAGTGATGTGTCCTTCTCTCTTACTTCCTGGTTTAAATATTAATTTAAAATTTAATAATTTAAATCAATCTTAGAAAATGTCGAAAAAAATCATAGAACTCAAAGGTTCATTTCTAAAACATTGGTGTAAGTTTCTTATATATCTCAATCCAAAAAGTTCTGATAAATAGCAATCGATCTTAATAGTTACTGTTTACAGTAAATTTAGTGTATAACTTATTCAACAAAATTTAGAATAGTAGGTTTGCTTATAATTTGAATGACATTTTTGTGGAAAAAAGTTAGTTATACCGATCAATCTAAATATTAAAAAGAATATTATAAGAACCTCAAATAGGATAACAAAGATGATGTTCTTTTTTTTGTTTCAGTACGATATTGGAAAAATTTGTACATTGATTATAAAGATGTAGCTAATAGTATTTATGAACATAGCACGACCCATCCTATACGAACTGCAGTATATTTGACATGTACAGTATATATATATTACTTTATTTTGAATTGATTTTAATTTGAACTTTAAATTTATCAAAAATTATTTGCAAATCTCCATAAATTATTGAAACTTTTAGTTAATTGTTTTAATTGTCTTATAATATTATTTAGTACATATTTAATGCATTAAATATAATCTTATTTAATGCATATGATCTAATATCTTCAAATTGTGGGTTGTTATGATTTCTAATCAATGAGTATCAACAGAATCAATAAGTGAACAAGTTAAATGCAGGGGTTGTAGAACATTTGTATTTATTTTGATTATTTTATCAACAATAAAGAGTACAAGATTTTTTATTTTCAGTTTCTATCAGTTAATGAAACTGATAGAATAATTTAATCTACAAAGATTATGCTATTTAAAAATAATTTAAAACAAAAATTAAAATGAAGCTAAATCATGGCCTATACTAGGTCATGACTGTTGATAGGTTATTCAATTGAAAATTAATAATATATAAATAACACTAAGAGTTATATAAATATAATAGAACTATGTGTAATAGAAATTTTCACACCAGCTTTTAAATTAAATATGTTTTTAACAAGAGTTACCTAAGAGCTATTATAGGCTTTCTTATTGAGCTTAACTCTATAGATAAAATAATAGCGTTTTATATTTGTTAAATATAAATATATTTCATATCACAGGAATAATTATAAAGTAAAGGTTTCATTAAATATTTATTTTTAACTTTTTTAATCTGCAAATAAAATTATTTTGGAGAGTCATATGATTAATTATAATTTATATTTGAATAATTTTTTACACAGAAGTGCCCTATTTAAACACATAAATCTATGTAAAAATGTGAAAAAAGCCACATGTATTAATATTTTTAATATTTATATCATTAAGGAAGATGATGAATTCATCATTATTTTTCCGTTGTAAATTAGTTCCTTTGGTTTTGCTCCATTGCGTTTTTTATATTTATATGTAAAACTTACAAATATTTAATTATCATTTCTCTACCATAGCATATGTCATTTAATCTCAGAAAAACAGTAATTTTATCTTTATCGATTATTCCTTGATACTGACATTGCAGCTCTAATTCTAAAGAATCTGTGAATTATAACTAAAGTACATGCATCTAATTTAAGAAAACACACACACACACACACACATATATATATTTATATATATATATAAATGTGCAAGAAAGTGATTTCACCCTCCTATGACCTTCTCAACGTTGCTGTGCTTAGTCTTAAACATCCATAAGTATCTCAAATCACGTTTTTGTGCTAATGTTGAAATGTATTCCTGCTTGGAAGATTTCATTTGGGATCCTATATATAGGATTCTTTGAATGACTCCTTAGAAGATTTCAAAAGATGTATACTAGCTGAGAAAATATAATGTGAGATTCTTTAATATAATAATATATATATAATGATTAGTATTAAGTATTAGAAATAAACCCTTGAAAATATCATGATGAAAAATGACGTTCCTTCCTTAAAAAGTTCTATTGAAAATCATGAGAAAATGAGCTAATCAATATCATTCCCCAATCCGAGAACTCGGAATAAATACTAAAACCCATTTATAGTCCAAAAAAAGGTGTGTTTTAAGTCTATTTAATAGATTATTATTAAATTATAATTGTTATGAACAATATTCAATTACAATAAATGAAATTTAATAATATTTAAAGAAACAACACTCATACTAACTGAATAATTTTGTCTGATGTTGTCTTGTTGAATTTCTTGGCTCTGACACTGTCTCGGGTAAACAAGTGAGTATTCCGTACAGCCATTAACTAATTACTTTCGCACTTGTGCACGGAGTGACTGAATTGCTGGTTAAATTAAGTTCTATACAGTAGAAAATCGAAAACAATGGCGTTACTGAAAGAGATAGAAAAGAATAAGAAAAGTATATAGTTGGAAAAATAAAGTAAAGCTTATTTTTAGAAAGATCGTAGAAAATTCAGATTAATCATAGAAATATTTTCGAGTTTTTGAGGAATTGATATAGGTCAATAGTAAGTGGCTGAGGATTTCCAAAAAATTGAGATATGGTGTAGGGGCAAAAATTTTCAATTTCATATTATTAGTTTGAGCAGCAGAGGCTTGTGTTGAGATTCGAATCGCTTATAAATCCAGAAACATGGTTTAGGTTGTTCCGTCGTCGCAATACAAATCGTGCATGCGCGCTGTGTGAATGTTTTAACGAGTCTGCATGATCGTGGGGAGAAGTGGTGGGAATTATTGAGCGCTTCTCCCGTATTTTTTGCCGGCTCGTTGTTAGTATGAACAGTGTAGCCTGCGCGAGCGGTTCTCTTGTATCGTGCTGAAGTGAGTTCGAGTGCCTCTGAATTACTTATCAACTAATATCATTAACTAAATTTAAAAGTAAAACATTTTAACTACTAACAAAAAATAACACGGCAAATTAACATATTAACAATATCAATAACATACAACTTAAGAAAATCAAACAAATAGCGAGATGCAGTACCACGTGCTGCATCCGTAATAAGAAGTTCGTCTTTTCACCGAGCAACAATCATTTTCTAACAGACTTAACGATTTCATCTATCATCACCTGCGGTAATTCGCGCACAGGTTTGACGAAAGGTTGTCTTCTTGTGGAAATCGAGTATGTATGTATGATTGTCGGGGAATTCCTCAATGCATGCGTGCGAATAATACTTTTTCTTCTTTTTTGAGAATTCATTTATACTTATTCCTCGATAATTCCTTTCAAGTGTGCTATAGCCTAAATAAATTGGGGTTATTTTTATGCCTTTTTAGGCTTGTTTCCATATTTGATTTTGTTATTTATTTTAACCTTTATTTCCATTTTTATAAGAAATTTTTTAATCCAAACGAACCGGTTTTTTAAATAAAATAATATAGCCCTATCGAACAAATACTGCAGGAAATTCAGCCTGGATTTCCAGCAGGATATCGAGTTGGATTTTCAGTTGGATCAACCTGGATTCCACCTGGATTCCAGGTGGATATCCAGGTTAGATTTCCAGTCGGAGTCCAGGTGGAATTCTGGGTAGATTCCAGGTAGATTTCCAGGTGGATTTCTAGGTGGATTTCTACGTAGATTCCAGGTAGATTTTTAGTCTGAATTTCTAGGTGGATTCCAGGCGTCTTTCCATGCTGGATTTCTAAGTAGATTCCAGATGGAATTCCGGGTGGATTTCTTCGTGAATTTCTGTTGAATCCAGGTGGATTTTTAAGTTGGATTTCTAGGTGAATTTCAGGCGAATTTTCAGGCTATTTCTAGGTGTGTATTTTGGGTGGATTTCCAGGGTGAATTTTTCGATGGATACTAGGTCGATTCCTAGCTGGATTATTTGAAGTATAGAGAAATATATGCCAGGCCATTGCCGGACCACTAAATTTATCATAAAATTCAAAATTACGATACTCAATGAATTCAGTATCGTTATATCAAATACATATTAGGTACACGTGAAATATAATTATAATGATCAATATTCAACTAAACACAAATTTTATCGATATTTTTCGTTTCTGTTATATCAATAATAGAGTTGATTTCCATAATTTGTTTTATACAATGTATTATACAATGTTTTGTACAATGTATACATCACTTACTAAATGATCATCGATTACTATAATATTTTTGTGGTAATATCACAGAAAGATATTACCACAATATCTTTGGCAACATAGATAGTTTGTTTTATTTTTCCATTTTCTGTTTCGAATACATTATCACTATGTGCATACAATGGACCCTAGTCAGCAACGCTCTATGTTAAGTGCAATAATTGGTGAACATTGTACGTTATAGCATCATCTGTGTATAGACGTTCTGTATAACAAACTTTTTCAGAAAAAATCTGCTCTTCGCAATTTGGTTTAAGTTATTTTAATTTTCAATAAAGTATGATATTCTTCTATTAACAAAGACCAATGAATCATGAACTTTTCAAATTTTGGAGTTTCTCATGATATAAATTGTAATATTGGTAGGTTGTAATATGATATCCAATTGGACGACTCTTTTGCCTTCCAATATCACTTAACGACCGTGACAATCGTTCCAATTAGGTCGGCACTTTTAGTTTTTTTATGTATTGATCAATGATCTTGAGCTTGCTCTTCGGAATTGAATATGAATCATTGGATGAAGTGAACCAATAGTTGCAAAATTGTTTGCCTATACCGAGATTAACGCAATGCGTTGGACAAGGCACGAATCAGTCTATTATATCAAATTTATTTAAAAGCAATAATGGAGTTACACTTTTAATACCAAAAACGGGACCTTTTGATTTTACAGCCCTTTGCATTAACTCAAAAGAACCATTTGCTATTCGTCTTCCAGGATGTACATCTGGAGTAGGATATTTCATAAAATGTTCAGTATCATGATGAACTCGTACACCTGGATATAAGCATTAATTACAACCGTAATATCCATTAAACTGAACGGTGTCCTGCATAGGCGCGCGTGCCATAGAATCTACACAACAGCAGAGTGCATACACATGCAAATTTCTTTTTTCATTTTGCACCTGACATCTTATTTTTGTTTTTAAAAGTTCATTCATATATTCCACAAAAGGACGCATGAAATACGCCATGTTTGGTTTATCACGACCAAATCATAACGCACAAGTAATTGTTTTTTTCAAGCGAATACTTAGTGGAATTTCATTCACAACCATTTGTATAAGCCAAATAGAATATTTGGAACTTTTGAAAGTTGGACTTCCATTACTGTTAAACGTTACTGTAATATAAGACTCTTTTTGATCAACCGGTAATGATTCGATAAATTTTTTATATTTGTGGCCGTCGTAAATGTCTTCGAAAACAACATTAGGTTGTTTATTTCTCCGAGAAACAATATCACAAGAGAAATTATCATTTGTTTCGATCAATCTTTGTATTTCCCCTACTATATTAAACATGGTAAAATAATCGCTATAAGAAGGATCTTTTAAGTTTACCTCATTATCAC